TAGGGGGGGCAAATTTTCCTACTGGGGGCGGTGGGCAATTTTTCGTCAAGCCGCCCGAGGAAGTAAACGTAGCCGTATGTCGACTATGTGGGCAGAAAGTCAAGCGGGGGCCGGGGGGCCCATTTTGGGGGGACTACAGCGTTGCGGCAGCATTGAAAGGGGCGCCTTTTGGGTTTGGCCCTTTGGGAAAACCGGACAAAGATATGGCGGTTCTGCCTGCCCCAGCCCCCGCCCATCACCCGCCCCCTTACTTGTTTCCGTCCCCCCACGTCAATTCGCCCTCTACCCCCACCCCCCAATTAAAGGGCCCTTCCAAAAAACCTCTGCTGAGGGGGGGTTGTCGCTCGTTGGCACTTCCGTTTCGTTCAAAAATGTCCTTCTCCTGCTATTTTCCTCTTCACAGTTTCCCCGTCAGCAGTTTTTCCTTGGGGGGAATTTTCTTTTCCAAACAAAAAAAGGTTTTTTTCCCCCCGGGGCCGGGGGCCGGGGGGCCGGGGGGCCCCCCGGGGTGCAGAAGCGGAAACCCTCCCCTTTTCCAAAATTTTTCCCTGGGGCCCCAGTCCCCCCCTTTTCCCAAAAAATTTTTGGGGGGAAACCCCACCCACCTTTTCCCGGGGGAAAAAAGAATGGGGGGGGCCGGAACCGGCCGTGGGAAAAAGGGGGCCAACCCTTTCTTCGCCAAAAAAAGGGGTGGAAAAGGCAGTGCCAGCCCTGCATTCACATGTAGAAGAGTTGTGGGCCTGTCTTTAGCATGTCGGTCCTCTGCCGAAGTGCACGGCAAGCGCCGACGTGGTGGAGCTGAAGTAACTACGTCAGGGAAAGTACATGTCATTTACGGCCCACTGTGTGAAACGTATGTTCGTGCCGGCACATAACAGCCGCACGCAGCAACTTGGACAGGTCACGACGCTTTTTGCCTCCAAACGTTTTTGGCACGTCCTTGGTACAGCAAGATGATGTCCGGCCTCTACCACCTCTTCTTTCCTCTCCGTGTCCTCCGAGCCGCCACCCAGCCCCGAGTGCCAAGTCCCATTAACCGACCACAGCCATAATCACATGAGCAAGGGCTTCAACGGTTGTTCAGTCACGCTGTGCTGCACCTGGTATGCTTTGGCGAACGGAGTCACACAGGGGAGGAACTTCTGAGTGTAATGAACAGGAGAAATCGACAGATGGCTGTCTCCCGCAGCAAACTGAAAATCGGAACCATGTTGACCGACAACTGGAAAGAACATGGTGTCTGCTCTGCCGTCAAGGAAGGTTGTGCCATGCGCCATGCATGGCTCACTGTTGGGAGTTCAAATCTCTGGTTGTCAAGCGGTTCCTAAAATCCACCATCCCACTGCAAGACATCCTTAAAATGTCACGTAAAAACTTTGCATGCATTTCAGCCATTCCTACACCGCAAAGCACACCCTCCTTGAGCTGCAGCGGCAGAACGGAATTCCACAGCATCGCCTGATCTGCGACGTTTGCAACAAGGTGGAATTCAACCCTAACATATGTTAGACCGCCTTTACGAACAGCGAAAGGCCATCACACCGATTTCCTGATGTTACAACAAGCGGATAAAGGTACTCCCCTGTAGTAACTTAGATGTCAGCCATTGGCAGCTCATGCGTGACACCTGCCGCTTGCTCAGGCCCTTTGAGGAGGCCACGCTATTCGTGAGTCTGCCCCTGCAGGACTATGGGATGAAAACGACGTCATTCCTCTGTTGCACGTCCTGGAACAAATGCTGTTAACAATGGCTGGTCAGGTGCGGTAGACGTGGCGCACAGATCTCAACGCCACATGACCCCTGTGTGGGGCAGGACAGGAAGAAGAGGAGGAGGTAGGGGAGGACATTGGTGCTCAGGAATTATTGAGTGAAATGGGTGGTTTTTTCCCACTCAGCGGACAGGAGTGGAGGAGCAGGAGCATCTGGTAGAGGAGGAGGAGGAGACAGCACCCTGCCAACCGAGGTAGACAATCCCCTTGACAGTACTGGGCAAATGAAACTTGACCTTTGGCCCCAACCTAGCTGAATTTGCCCTTGACAAATGGCTGTCATGCCCGGCCAGTAGTAGCGTGGCATCGGAGCGCGGTGTTTAGTGCGGCAGGAGGTATTGTAACTCCGCGGAGGACACGACTGTCCACCCCAAAGTGTGGAGAGACTCACGTTTGTGAAAATGAATCAGGCGTGGATTAGTCTGGATTTCAAAACCAACCAGTTCCTGACACAACTGACTAAATCCGCCATGAATCATGCCCCAAACATGTTATTATTTTTAAACATAGGCCTCTGTATGGCCTTCAATTTAAGCTGCTTACGCTTATTTAAGCTGCCATGGGCCCCTGTACTGCCTCCTGTTGCTGCTTGCCAGGTCCAGAGTGTGTCATGGGTCCCTCTACGGCCTCCCATTGCTGCTGTCTCCATCGCCACACTCTGCCATGTGCCACTTTCAGGTCTCCTCACACTGCTGGTGGGTTCTCCATTTTTGTCATAGGGTGCTGGCAGATTTACGGGCCTCCCATTGCTGCTGCCAGGCTCGTAATCTGCCATGGGCCCCCTGTACCGCCTCCTCATGCTGCTGCCAGGTCCAGAGTGTGTCATGGGTCCCTGTAAAATGGCCTCCCATTGCTGCTGTCTCCATCGCCACACTCTGCCATGTGCCACTTTCAGGTCTCCTCACACTGCTGGTGGGTTCCATTTTGTCATAGGGTGCTGGCAGATTACGGGCCTCCCATTGCTGCTGCCAGGCCCGTAATCTGCCATGGGCCCCCGTACCGCCTCCTCATGCTGCTGCCAGGTCCAGAGTGTCTCATGGGTCCCTGTACGGCCTCCCATTGCTGCTGTCTCCATCGCCACACTCTGCCATGTGCCACTTTCAGTCTCCTCACACTGCTGGTGGGTTCCATTTTGTCATTGGGTGCTGGCAGATTACGGGCCTCCCATTGCTGCTGCCAGGCCCGTAATCTGCCATGGGCCCCCGTACCGCCTCTCATGCTGCTGCCAGGTCCAGAGTGTCTCATTGGTCCCTGTACGGCCTCCCATTGCTGCTGTCTCCATCGCCACACTCTGCCATGTGCCACTTTCAGGTCTCCTCACACTGCTGGTGGGTTCCATTTTTTGTCATAGGGTGCTGGCAGATTACGGGCCTCCCATTGCTGCTGCTCAGGCCCGTAATCTGCCATGGGCCCCTGTACCGACTCCTCATGCTGCTGCCAGGCCCGTAATCTGTCATGGGCCCCTGTACCGCCTCCTCATGCTGCTGCCAGGTCCAGAGTGTCTCATGGGTCCCTGTACGGCCTCCCATTGCTGCTGTCTCCATCGCCACACTCTGCCATGTGCCACTTTCAGGTCTCCTCACACTGCTGGTGGGTTCCATTTTGTCATAGGGTGCTGGCAGATTACGGGCCTCCCATTGCTGCTGCCAGGCCCGTAATCTGCCATGGGCCCCCGTACCGACTCCTCATGCTGCTGCCAGGCCCGTAATCTGTCATGGGCCCCTGTACCGCCTCCTCATGCTGCTGGCCAGGTCCAGAGTGTCTCATGGGTCCCTGTACGGCCTCCCATTGCTGCTGTCTCCATCGCCACACTCTGCCATGTGCCACTTTCAGGTCTCCTCACACTGCTGGTGGGTTCCATTTTGTCATAGGGTGCTGGCAGATTACGGGCCTCCCATTGCTGCTGCCAGGCCCGTAATCTGCCATGGGCCCCCGTACCGACTCCTCATGCTGCTGCCAGGCCCGTAATCTGTCATGGGCCCCTGTACCGCTCCCTCCTCATGCTGCTGCCAGGTCCAGAGTGTGTCATGGGTCCCTGTACGGCCTCCCATTGCTGCTGTCTCCATCGCCACACTCTGCCATGTGCCACTTTCAGGTCTCCTCACACTGCTGGTGGGTTCCATTTTGTCATAGGGTGCTGTATGGCCTCTCATTGCTGCTGCCTCCACCGCCACACTGTGGCTCCACACTCTGGTTTTGGCCCCTGTGACTGCCCAAATGAGTGAAGTGTGCGGTGATTCTAAGATCGACGGCACTCATCTGCATGTCATACTGACTGACAGTATTATTTTTCTTCCCCAGCAGACTCCAAGGGCATTTAAATTAAAGGTACAGTGTTCTGCACTATATAAAGGCTCTCTGAAGCCTAGAAACAACCCTTTTTAATGTTAAATTCGCAGCGAATATATTCGCCTCGAATCAAATTTATTCCTCGAATTCGCCGAATCAGCCGAATCGAATTTTTGAATACTTCGCTCATCTCTAGTATACATGTACTAATGTCGTGTTTTGGGAAGGGCTTTGACCTCAGTTGGGTTTTATTGCTTTTTGTCCTCATTGTGGAGACTTCCACCCACTTTATATTCTGCTGATGCCATAAGAATTAAGAAAGTACCCAGCATCAAGCTGTAGGATGTGCCTTAAGGACTTTAACTAAAATTGTTGTAAAGAGCAAAAACCTTTGTCACAGATGTCACAAATTTCATAAAATGCCTCCACCATCTCCCACATCCCAGTAATTTTGGGTGGATTTCTTCTTCAAATAGACTTGAGAAACACTATACCCACGTATCTGAAAAAACATCAGTATTGTACAGAACAAGCATTACTCCAGAGAAATTAAATAACAACAATATAAACAGACAGAAAATTCCATGTGATAATTTACTTTCTGAATTTCAGGTAGTGATGCTGCCAAAAAAGAAAACTTCCTAGTTCTATACAAACTGAGCTATATATCTTCATTCTAATCAGAAAACAGAGCACTGCCAGGGAAACAACCGATCTTCACTCAGTCAGACAAATATTAATCACATCCTGCTTATTTGGGATTTATACTGAATAGAATTGTGGAACTTGTGCTGTTTATGTACTTTAAATCATTCAGCTGAAACAAAGTTCTAATAAACTTTAGTAATTCCTAACAACGGTTTTGTGTGACAAAGACAATCTGGGAGGTCTCACCTTTGCCTTTTTTACATTTGCATGTAATGATAATGGGTTTACATTTAAAACCTTTTATAGATCTTAATATTTATAGGTTAAATGTTAATAATGTATGATTTGAAATAAATAATTGGCTGATGTGGATACTAGCAGTAAGTAAACAAAGATCCCATTTACTTCTGAGATAATTTATATTCAACAGTCTACCTCAACCTATAGTATGTACTCAGGCAATGCTAGTGTACAGCGATAGAAGAATACATAAGTATTTTCCAGGAATGGTCTTTTCAACTAATGTACGAGGGGCATCCAAGTCAAACCATCAAGATGGCAGACAACAGTGTTAGTGCATGCATGGAACAGTGTGTGGTGATGAAGATTCTTGTGAATGAAGTGAAACACCTAATCCTGGATAATCATTGCATAACCTGTCATGAAATTGCACAAGAGACAAATCTTTCTGTGGGAATTGTGAACACATTCATTCACGAAGTGAAGCAGGCTGTCCTAGGATGGTTCAGGCATACTGGCAAATCTTTCTATGCTGAAGCTTTCCAGGCATTAGGTAAATGCTGGGATAAGTGTATAAATGTAGCAGGGGAGTATGTTGAAAAATAAATGCAGTTTCCACTCCTTGAAATTTGCTCTTTTATTATATAAACTCAAAAGTCCCGTTTGACTTGAACGACCCTCATAAGAGACAATAAATCTGAACGTTTAGTGCAATGTTTTAGTGCAAAAGACAACCAATACCTTATTTGCAACAATTTGTAAGTAGGAAGACACAGGTGTAGCTTCTATCTACCTAGCTATGTTTCATTAAAAGGTCAGAAAGGGAAATCAATTATTCCATGTTTCATTAACAGGGGTTACAAAGGCAATCTGAAAGGAAATCTGTTTTAAAAGAAACATAGATGCTGGTACTTTCCTGCAGGTCATGCAAATTTGCTGACTTGAGTCACTGACCCAGAACAAGCAAGCCCTTAGTAAACTCAGAGTAAAGTCAGATCTGCATATTTCTTTCAGGTTTTTGAAGCTAAAAAACCTGTATCAGCCAGGCAACTTGCTTTTTTATAAATAGTGGTGAGCAGTGCCACATTTTTCCAAAGATGGGTTTCTTTTAAAGTCTATTTCCTGCCCTATGTTCCTGCTCGGTGCTCTTTACTCCAACAGCAGATAGTTCAAGAAGACTAATCAAGGGCCGATGGTGGATAGAGCCACCAAGGGACCCCTTTTGCAAGACTAATTTTTATGTTCTCAATTTAACTGCTAAGGTACACTTTTTCATTTAATGTATTTATTGAGATCTGGAAAGAATAAAGTTGTGTCTAGGGCTATAAGAAAGAAGAAGCAGCTTACTGAAGAGAGTATCTCCCTGCTCTCTCTACCCTCTCTTTTGGAAAATCAGGTACTTAACACTAGTTGCTTTTTAAATACATTTAGAGATTTTTCATTGATACATTACTGCATCAGTTAGTGTTTAAAGTGGTTGTAAAGCTAGAAGGTTTTTTACCTTAATGCATTCTATGCATTAAGTTAAAAAAAAAACTGTCTGTGGTCTGCTCTCCCCCCAGCTCCAATTTAAACTTACCTGAGTCTGATCTTGATCCAGCAATGTGCATGAGAGCAGTGGCTCTCTCGGCTCTCTCCCTCCTCATTACCTCATTAGCTCAAAGACAGCAGCAGGAGCTACTGGATCCTGCTGCTGTCAATCACATCAAGTGATGAGAGGCAGGGAATGACTGAACACACAGACTGGGGCTTGAGAGTGAGCCTGCAAGATTCTCCTCATCGTAAGTTGCTTGCTATGGGGGCAATTGTCAGGAGGGAGGAGCCCAGAGTGCCTGGCAAGGGACCTGAGAAGAGGAGGAGCAGAGCAGGTAAGTATAACATATTTGCTATTTTAATGAAAAAAAAAAAATCAAGATTTACAATCACTTTAAATACATAGGGCTGACAAATTTATTATCTTATAAAGTGTGGTATAGTGAAATTCATTAGAATGGTAACCTACCAAAAGATATTAGTAAAGTTTTATACCTTAATCATAATGTTCATACAGCTCTTTTACATCCATTGCAACACACTCTTTTCTTTTATTGTATGTATCTCCCTGCATATATGATATGTAGATAAATAGTTTTAGTTCTTGGAGTTGTGTTTGGAGGTGCAGACACCAGGAAAGGTAAGTGTTTACTGATGTCTTTTACAGGTCGGAAGGGTTTTATTGAACATTATCACTCTGCACAACCTCCATCTAGTTGCCTCAAGGCTTTATTACCCTTATTCTCCCTCAGGTAGGTGATTTAGGCACATAACTAAAGCTGAAGCTACTTGTTGACCATCATCTTATAAACAGCACAATAATTTCAGTGTTCTGCAAATTAAACATTTCCAGCAAGTGGTTAAATCTCTCAGCCATATACATAAAATTTGCAATTTGTAATTCTATTCCTAACAATTGTAAAAACTTCTATTTCAACAGTTGCTTATATTTATATATGTAACTATTTTAACGTTTCCAATAGCTGTACATCAAGTGGAAGGTCTAGTAAAAAAGTTTTATAAAAATTTAGAATTTCCAAAATTGTTCTGAGTATGCTTTGAGTCTTGAGGGTGTTGCCTCTAAACTTAAAACACTAACCATCTGCTCTAATATGACCTTACAACACCCAGTTCCCTCATCTTATTTCATAACACTAAAATATATATATATATATATATATATATATATATATATATATATATATATATATATATATTTTATTTTAAATCACATTTTAACTTTTTTCATAGTGTAAGTATGTTAACTGCTTTCTTATCTTCATCATTGTCTTCATTTTATGCATTCCCTATATCATAAAATAGGCTCATTACATCAGAGAGGTCAATTAAAAGATACAATGCAGAAAAGAGTGGAACATTCCAAGGTGCTGCCAAATCAGCTAAGGATTCCTTGGAAATATCAATTAATATAGAAGTATGCTGTGTATTTGTATAAGCAGTTGGATATACCAACGCAAACTATACTCCAGAGTGTTCTTAACATGTGCATGGAACTATATGCATTATGAAGTGGTTTTGAAATTAAAATCCCAAATGTGCTAGCTTGTGTCAGAATAACAATAACATCTGTCTTATAAGCTAAGCTAAGGCTACATTTTAAGGGATATTAAACATACAAAAATGATGTTTTCAATATTACACCATTTTGGAAACTAAGGGGATTTTGGAAATGTATTATTTGAACTGATGGAAATTCGTACATAGGCCCCTGTTAAAAAATTGCTCTGTGGTGAATTCACAGGAGCTATAACCCAGGAAGCAAAAAGTAACAGTACCATGAACTCTCTCCTCTTCATTTTCTTTTTAGGTCATTGATAAGGATAAGGATCGGGTTCATCACTACCATGGCTTTGAGATAAAACTTGCAGGTTTGAGATACTCAGTCATGGTGAATTTTTGTACAGATTTACTCAGGAGAACCTTTTTTAACCACAACACACTGCATGGCCTTTGAGCTATGACCAGCAGACTTAGAAGGGCCAATATTGGAACTTTTGGATAAGTCAGCCCCCTCACAATAAATGGGGAGCACAGAGCAAATATAATGCTATTGTATTGGAAGCTGCTATAGGGAAAGCTGACAAACTGCATATATATATATAGAGAGAGAGACAATCTGACAGGAAACAGTTCTTTTATTCTGATTGCTATCTGTTTTATCAGTCAACCCCGTTGCTGCTTTTTGGTTCTTAGTATTGAGAGATTTTTATTATTTAATTGTATTTTGTGATAAATTATATATATATATACACATAAAACAGCCACTACAAAATGAAGAAACCTGTGCACCCACTACAAGAGAATAGAACATAAGGGATATCTGGGAACACAGTACATAAATACAAAAAAACTAACTTTTAATTATTAAGTTACAAACATGATCTAAATGTGAAAAGATACATCTGTGCATAAAAGACAAGACATAGACAAACTTACTTGGGTCTTTGCAAACATTCGAAAAACAGAATAAAATGTGCATATTATTAAATGCATAATTGTAAATCTCACCACCCAATAAAAAAAACTCTGGCCTGAGCGACCTG